AATGAGGATGACAATTACAAAATTGGATTAAATTATTTATTACAATATTAGAGGTGGAGTATTTTTGTACATAAAAAAAAATCAACAATTTATCGTTTTTGTTATTTTTATTCCTTTTTATCATGCTTATAATTTATTGATTTCATTGGAGCATACATATCTTGCATAAATTTATTTTAACCCTTACGGTGTTTTCCAACACATTCTCAACTTACATTGCTATCTTCAGCTTACATCGTTATTATTATTCCCACATAGTTTGTAGAGAGGCAAATACATGTTCAACTTCACAAGTAAATACAGATCCTTAAACAATATATTGCATGACAGCCTGACAGTTCATCTGCGTTCCCGATAGATTATTTCTGTCATTCTCAACACTTGGTCCGAATTATACAAAAAACTACACGCAAGAGGCATAAGGAACATGCCCATGCTAAAGTTTAGGTAAAGACATTACCAAATTTATCCCTTAAAAAGATAAACTATACATAACTTATTACACAACTACATTTTATAGCTACCCATTTTATTCGTCGTCGACATTTGAACCTTCTTCCCACTTTCATCATCAGAATATGAATCTCAAATCATGAGTACAGTTTTATCATAAAGTTTTATTTTGTAGCTATTGGTAATCAATGATCCTGAATACTTTTTTTATCTTAAATGTTGCACTTGCCGAAAGAATGTATACTTTATTATTAGGGAACATTGAAACGTGTACAATGTAAATAAACGACAAAGAAAATGATGAATGATAAAATGATAAGTTCTCATATCACAAAGATAACAGCATTCACCCTACATATAATCAACACAGCATATAAGGTTGATCAAATGCAAAGTGTCTCAAATGATAATGTACCAAAAATATTAATTTTTGATGTTGGGGATACACCATTAGATGAGAATTTGGATAAGCCATTATTCTATGTTCACACTTGATGAACAAACAATTAATTAAACAAAATTAGTTGTAGGCATTAGTATGTAGAAATATTAACTACGGGCATAGTAGTTTACAACATATTTTATTACTTGCTGACAGTTCAACAATCGGTCACGACAAATTCTATGAATAATTTTCGACAGTTCATTGCAAATTCATAATGTACACTGAAAATTTCAACATAACAGAAATTTAGATACACACCATTATGTACATACATTATTATGTGAATCCCTAACAGAAATTAGAGACCATAAATATAGTCTACATATAAGTATAAATAGTTGCAAAATTAACAAATTTAGCTATGTTACCATTGAATTTCACCTAGGAGCACACAACGTTTAAGTGACGATTACAGCAAATTAAAATATTTGTGCGCATCACTAATAGAAACTGTAAAATATTTTAAAATAAAAAGTTACACAAAGTACTATCACGATATGTTTCTATTATGAAATAAACACATCCAAAAGTACTATCACGTCATTAACTACTTTAAATAACAGTTATGTTATCCTTAAGAATATGTGACTATTTTCCTAGTTAATTTTTACAATGTATTTGATATATTGCTTGATTTAACGTTGGTTGACTTTCTATCTGCTCCCCCTCGTGAATGGAGTCTTAGTCGATGCAGCAGGCACTCGAACACTCGTCGATCGTTGCATATTTGCATTAACGTCATCGTCACCTTGAACAGGTATGGTTGATGCCAATGGTAAATCAATGTGTCGTATTAATTACCAAATTTTAATAATGAAAGAAAATTACAAATTCTACCAAGATTTGAAGTAAAACGTCAAAATGATACATTTGTCTTCAACTAAACATATTTAACGTAAAATATAAGAATTTGACATTGTATAACTACCTCATTATGGAACTTACTGTCTGCCACAAGCATAGGGAACTTTGCGACTGTCCGATCATATACCTTTCGGGTCGACGGGTCGACACCTTCACACGAAATAATCAAATTTCAAATGTCAAGGTTTAAAAATCAAAACAGTTGAGTAATTTTTTTTCAAACTGAAAGTAGTAACACGTACCAATTGCCTCATTTACCCTACTAGTCAATGAACCTTTCGATAATTTGGGCTACCAACTTTCAGGTTGGTATTTTCATACGAAACAATCATATTTGAAATTATAAAGATAAAAACTCCAAACAACGAGACAAATGCATTTTTAAATTAAAGTGATATACATACCAATCTCCTCGTTTACGAAGCTAGCCGATGGACCCTCCGGTAGTCCAGGCAAGCACCATTTGGGTTGGTGACTTCTCTATCTAAAATGACAGTTTATCTATACAAATGGATTCATAACTATTATGTTAATATTTCATGAGGTAATAATGGTGCTCAGATGATATATTATACATTTCAACCCCTAAAATCACACTTAAAAGGGAAGTTTAACAAAATTTCACTTCTGCAACCAACTGTCGAGATAAGTGGGTCAACTATCGAGAATTTTAAAACCTAATTGTCAAGAACGACAGTTCGTCTTGATAGATGATTTCGTTATTGTCGAAATTGACATTTACATTCACATTCATATTGATTTTTCAAGACATGAAGGGTCAAGTTATGACAAACATGATGTGTTATACTTATAGCTTCAAATAGCACAACTTTTCATATACTCAGCCATAAGTTTTATATGTAAATGTAAAGACAATTTCAAGAATGAAAATAAAACAATTTAACACTTAAAACAATATTCAAATAACCCTGAATAATCATATAAAGATACACTTAACCAAGCTTATTTGTACATGTTGACTAGAATTTACCCAGTTCAATCTTTGCTCATTTCACAAACTCAAAAATTAAACCCAAACTCAATTTGCTTAATAATGACCAATAACCATTATTTACATTAAAGAAAAGTGAAAAACATAAGGGTAATTAGCACAAAACGTCCCTACCTTTCAATATTTTTGTGAAAAAAGGTCCCTACCTTTCTTTTTTGGCGGATTATACCCTCACCTTTACATTTTTTTTGCTCAAAACGTCATTCCGTCAACTCTCCGTTAAAATGTTTCGTTAAATAAAAAGGGTAATTAGCACAAAAGGTCCCTACCTTTCAATATTATTATGCAAAACGTCTATACCTTTCATTTTTTTAGCATAATTAGCACAAAAAGTCCATACCTTTCAATATTATTATGCAAAATGTCACTACCTTTCAATTTTAGCACTTTCACCCCACTTTTTACCTTTTATTGCGCAAACAGTCCTTTTTATCCATTTTTTCAATAAAATGACGATTTTACCCTCCTATTCAAATAAAACAAAAAGAAAAGAAAAGAAAAGAAAAATAAATAATTAATTGCAATATAGTCCTAAATCTTTCAAAACATTGTAGATAAGTCATAAATTCTCTACTACCGCCACTTTCACAACCCCATCAAGCCATCACCTATAGATCCATATAGCACTACCTTTCGGCCACAACACTTATCGGACTCCACCACCACCAGCCTCGCCTCACTCTCCCGAATATCCTCCTCCATAGTATTGGTCATCAATCTGTCCGAAACAACCACATTTACGATGGTGGAGTCCGGTGGGCATGGTGGCCGAAAGGTGGTGTTATGTGGATTTATAGTTGGCAACTTGATAGGTTGTGAAAGTGGTGGGGTTGAGAATTTATGATTTCTTTGTAATTTTTAAAAAATTTAAGGACTATAATTGTAGTTGATAATTTATCTTTTTTCTTTGTTTTATTTGAATATGAGGGTAAAATCGTCATTTATTGAAAAATAAATGAAAATGACCTTTTGCGCAATGAAAGGTGAAAGGTAGGGGTGAAAATGCTTTAAAAAATGAAAGGTATGGACGTTTTGTACAATAACATTGAAAATGTAGGGACCTTTTGTGCTAATTATGCTAAAAAAATGAAAGGTGTGGACGTCTTGCACAATAATATTGAAAAGTAGGGACCTTTTGTACTAAATACCCTTTGATTTAATGGAGCATTTTAACGGAGAGTTGACAGAAGGACGTTTTGCGCAAAAAAAAAGGTAAAGATGAGAGTGTAATTCGTCAAAAAACGAAAGGTAAGGACCTTTTCCACAAAAACATCGAAAGGTAGGGACGTTTTGTGCTAATTACTCAAAACATAATTATAAAAAAATAAATTCATAGATAACTTACACAAACCATAATGTTAACATTTTCGTAGAACTAGAAAAATAGACAACAAAAATAAAAGAAAAGTAGATATTGTACCAACCCAGAGCAAAAATTGTGAAGAATAAAAATATAAATACCCGTAAATTTGAAAAATCAAAGGAGAATAGACCAACGAATGCAAAAGGAAAGAAAAAAGAAAGCTTCAAGAGATTAATGTTGATCTTCGTCGACGGTGGACTTATTAACATTCATTCGACTTTAAGCCTGAACAAAAATGGAGAGTTTCAACATCTTCAATGGCCTTGAACGAGAGAAAATGAGAGAGTAAATTGAGTCGTTTAGGTTTAGGGAATAAGAGAGAGAATGAAAGAATTTTTACCTTTTTAATTTTCACACACACACACACAAATATGATTAAAGCATTTGATATGATATTTTAAAATCTTTTGAACTATTTTTCCATCTAGTCAAATTAGTTTTTAATGAAGGACGTATAAGGTATTTAAATTATCTAGAGAAGCAAAAATATTCAAAATTAACAATCTTGCAAAGATTTTAAAAAAGTGACATTTTTATAAATGTAAAATCAAAAATTGACTATTTTGATAATTTCTACTAATTAATAAATTTAATTAATTTTGTCTCCGCTCAATTCTTTTGTAGGTTTCTAGCTCTAAACCTGCGCATTCTACAATATTGACCATTTCAAAGACCTGAGACTTCTTCATCGCTTAAACGAGTGCTAATCAGCATTATTCAAGTTGAAAACTTGTCCCAATTAGGTAGGTCAAAAGTTCGTAGCGTAAGTCGGACTACTTCGATAGTGTTTTGAAAATATTGTAATGTAGCTAAACGCCAAATTTTCATTTAGAAAAAAAAAAAAAAAAAAAAAAAAAGAGGGGAAGAAGAAGAAGAAGTACTTTTATGTAATTATATGATGCATACATAGCAACCCTACAAGCAGAACTTCTCATTAATCTCATAAATCCAGTGAACTTGCTTCCAAGGATCAATGCATAATTCCCTGAAGAAATTGAATTGTCCATAATAATGGTGGCACTCGAAAATCCACACTTTTCCAAGCCCTGAAAAGGGAAGGAATCAGGCCAGAAGGCATAATCCATGGACAACCATAGACTTTGTCTATGAGTACTTTGATTTAAAGCCTTCCGTTAGAGCAATCACTTTAGCTGAAACCTTAGACTTCAATTTCGACTGAGCTTGTCGAATGTCCTGCAATTACAAAATGACAGCATACGCACTTTTATTTGTTATCTAATAAAACATTTGCAGAGAGCATGCATAATGCACTAAGTAGCGTGCTTCTCACTACATAAACCGGTCCACCAAGCATACGCAAGAAATAAAGATTCGAAGAAAAATAAAAATAAAAAGGAAAATGGGATCTAAAAGGCAACTTTTTGCAGTAATTACCTCAATATCGTAGCGGGATGAGAAATGAGTCAATACTATGGCTTTATTCCGAATCCATTTAGCACGTTCTATGATCTGCACTTCCAATAATCAGAGTTGATATAAAACATCAACTGATTTCTGATGGTCAAAGGATAAATGTTGCATTATAAGTATTTCAAAGCCAAAAGCAATATAACTGAGGCAAGTATTTCAAACATCCAAATACCTCAAATAGATGGGTATGGCCATGCTCTCTTGCGTGCTCAACAGTGACACTTTCGTCCAAAAATGTTGCCTGTCCAAACATAATATTCCCCAGTTAAGAACTAGGATTCCACTATTTCCAGAATTACAGTAACTCCACAGCTGTTCACGAGCATTCATCAAATATAATGTCATTGTAACTCGACAAGAAGAAATAGGAATATGAACATTTTACTATGTCATGTTGTTCATTTTTTTATTTTTTTTATTTTTTTTCCCTTTTTGCAGATTAACCAAAATTCCAAAATTATTAGATATGCCTTGAACCAAACATTTCAAACCATGGTGACGCAAAATTGATGTAAGCATGATGAAAGTACTGAGTCCCTTTATCCAAATATTTGGAAGTGATAAGCAATCCCAGTATCTGATGTTTATGCTATTTGACAAAGGAAATTAAATGGTTGTATGTTGAACAACTGAATCAATTCTTACATGGAGTTTTTTTTATTTATTTTGTAATTTTAAGTCATTTCTGTTAATAAATTTTTTTTTATTTTATTTATTTATTTATTTATTTATTTATTTATTTATTATTATTATTATTATTATTATTATTATTTAGGTGGACAGCATAGCATGAAGGGATGTAATTTGACGTTTTTGGATACTTGCAGGGCCCCAACAGTTTCAAAAACTAAGGGAAAATAGGCTTCATCAATATTTACTTTCTAAGGAATAAAGGGGAAAGATTATCTAAAAAGCAATTATGTAAATTCTAACAAGAAGATAAAATACTTCAGTTATAAGAATTTTTGCGCGCAAGGCATCAGCACTTCGTGGATCCAGAAAAAAATCTGACATTGTATCTCCTGTAAAGGCTACCTCAGGGCACAGTATCGTATCTGTGATCTGACATGTAAATAATTATGAATCAGAAAAACAGTTTCTGATCACTAAAAATTGATTTTTAAGTAAAGCAAATGCGAGGAAATCTTGTCAAGAGTAATATACCTCAACACCAGACTTTTTCAGTTTCTCAATTTGAGTTCCTTTTAGATGCATGTATTGCTTTTTTAGCTTCTTTCTAACAGAGTAGATAACATAACCCTACAAATATAAGAAATGAATTATCATGTGCTGTGAGTGCTTTGTGAATATGTTAAGCATAACATTAAAGACTGCAAAATAGAGAATTTTTTCTTCAGGGCTTGAATATTTGTACAAAATGTCAGGTTCATCATTTCAGCAGAAACCATGCACAAGAGAACCCAGCAATTCAGCGGGTGCCTTGAAAAGTAATCAAGATTTGATTATTTTGCACTGTAGAGTGCTAAAAGTCTGTGCAGTTTATTTCAGGTATCAAATCATAAAAAAGATTTAAGAAATCTTTGGCCATGAATGCATATCATAGGCCTAACAGATTGAGTAATGTGAAGAAAGGTAGATCAGTGACTAGAAATTTAGAGAGCAAAACATAATTTTTCAACCATTGTGAATTGTGTTGTACGGGTGAAAAATGAATTCATGCAATTGTTTGTCCAGTATATGCTAAGTGAGAAATCAAATCCTAAAGACTCTTTATGCAATCTTTTAACATGTCTGCATAAGATAGGTCTGGTGGGCTGTGCATAGAGAAAGGAAGACAGGATGGTGACCGTAGAAAAAAGGCTACTGAATTTCAAACTTTCCACCATTGTGAATTACTGGATTATAGTGTAACACTTAGTCAATGCAACAATACCTGGCTGGGTATAACATGGTGAGTTTTAAATGGTCGTACAACAAGGTCATTCCGCATTTCATACGTCTCCCCTGATGCAAGTTTATGAATTATATACAAAGAACGGGGTACATAAACTGATCAATGAAAGACATCTGAAATCCAAATTTTTACCTACATCCAGAGCAACCAAATCAAAGTTCAGTTCCACCTGACCCATGGCCCTGTGAATATCAAATAGCCGTTCAACATCCTCTTTTATGCCAGGAGGCACAACCACTGTTGGAGGTTTTAAGCTGTATAAACCACGAGTAGCTACATACATCGGAAGTCCACCCTGAATAAGTGGATATGTAAAAACTTGCTGTAACCTCTGTTTCCAGGTGCTATGTTATGCAAAGTGCAAACTTTACATGCAGTTGTGAAAACTACTAGAGCCGTTGACAAGGAAGACTGGTTGTTGCATTTTAAGATTCCTTGGATTAGGATCCAATGATGATTTTAGGAGCAAATGTCTCAAGTCATGATATGATTTTCTACAAGTACAGCAAATTAGAAGTGTCGCTAGTTTGCAAAACGGAATGATTGTAAATGCGATGACCTTGTCAAGTTACAATAAGGCACAAATTTAACGACTAATGCAACCACTATTAAGATGAGGTAATTAGGATGTTGCAATAGGTAACCTCTTTCTCTCTCTTATAATGCATTCAAATGTAATGTACAAACACAAAGAAGTCTGAATAGTGCAACTATCAAAAATCAGAATAATATCAAATTTTATGTCCTGCTTGCACATAGACATGAATGATATTCATTGGAATTTAAATCCTCGTCTAAGTTGAATCAAGTCAAAAATTAAAAAATATATGATCATGAGTTGTACCCTCATGCTCTTTGACCCGTGCACTAATATTAGACAATATCCCTCTAGGTATCATCCCAAAGTGATAATTTATAGATGTCAATAGTTTTCGGTCAAGTTACAGTGGAGCCACCTTTCAACACGATAATGACCAGCATGGTCGGTGCATGCTATGCTGCATAAGCTTGGGCTAACACCCAACACTTCCCCAGACATAATAACCCAATGATCACTCTCGGAAGATTGTTTATTGATATTATTATTTTTTCAAAAACACACAGCAGAAATTTCATTAAGCTAAGTCATATGAATGACAAACGAAATAAAAATCGAAATAAAATCAATCCAATTGTGTGTAACTGGAGAAGAAATAGCAAAAGATGCAGGTTCATGGGCCACTTATTCCCCTTGCAGGTATAAAGGGACACGAACCACAACTTGTCATATACTGTTGGATACTTATTATGAGAATTGATTTTTTGACCTATAAAAGTGGGTCTCACCCCTGTGAATGAAGAATTTAAAAAAATTTGCTATCAAACGGGGGCAAAAGTGAAGTCAGAAAACAAGCTCTGCATCGCACGACCCATTTATTATATTTTCTAAATGGCATGTTTAATTACTGAAACCATTAATTTAATCAGAACTTCATTGGTTCTATTAGCATGTACAACTATACAGGTGTGCTCCAGTTGTACATTACCTAAATGCTGGAACTATTTATACATTGCACTATCACTAAGAAAACCAATCCCACAAAAAAATAGGGGAAATATCAGCTCCCCTATGTAGTTGCATATAAAACAGCAGCGGATTTGATTTAAAATCAAGTTAAGGATAAAATAAAAAAAGATCTTACAATATGATCAAGATGAGCATGGGTAATAAACACGAAATTCTGCTGAACAGCTCTTGAAGGGCACCTCCCAATATCAAAAGCAGACTTCAATTCAGGCACAATAACACACGTCTCATGCCCACCAATCGACAACCCTTCAATGGAATAGCCTTCTAAACCCAATCCCTTTCTATTCACCTCAGCCCTAGCCTTTCTGTACTCTTCCTCCTCGATTGTCCTCCCAATTGCTGAGAGAAAACCCGACCCTTTAACCGCTGCACTTGCAGTTACAGGGTGGCATTTATTATGGGGAACTGGAAATGGGAAATTGGGTCTGCGAATGGGCTGGTGAAATGGAGAGAGATTAGGCAAATTTGAGAGTGTAATTTGGGGAGATATCAGTTGCATGTTTGGATAAATCAAAGCAAGAATGAGGAAGAATGCGTGTTTCTCGTTTCAATGCGAGTGTGTCAATGACTCAATATTAGTGTCGAGGGAGTATTTATGTTTGGCTAAGGGGAAAATTAACTTGTAGGATCATTTTTAATAGCGTAAAATCGAGAATTAATTGTTTCTAACCCTCATTGAACTACTCACCGTATTTTAATTTGCACTTCATTACTCACTAAACTTTATAAATTTGCACTCCATCATTCACTAACTTCCATGCATAACTATTGCTTACGTGGATGATGAATTTCACATGTGGCCGATTAAATGTCCAATTCAAAAATTAAGTGGCATGTCATTAAATCCCAAACATGGTTGAGTGAATGTTCAATTGAAATCATGAGATAAAACTCTCATTTCAAACGCAACCTCCATTTTTTGTAGAAATCACAACAGCTCCGAAATCTGAAATTTCCAAATTGATCGTGAACGCTAACCCCCAAATCGAATTTGATCCAGAATCAACAGATCGGGAAGAGTGATTGATGATGGTGCAATTATCGTTACCGTCAAAGGCGCAAAATTATGGGCTCCAATTTCAGAACTTAATGGACTTGAGCTCACTTCTAGGTCAAGTGGAGGGCAATTCACTGATTTGCCCAATGGTCTGAGCCAAATTGTTCAAAAATGCAATCAAGAGAATTGGATGGTAAACAAGATCCGTGTTCAAGCCATAATATGGGCCTCAGTTGATGGAAATGGAGGTAGACCATCATTTGACACACAAGTGGTGACTGGGCAAATTGATCTTGAAGAAATGGATGATGAATTCGCTTTCTTTTTTAATTATTTATTTGGAATTTATTTGTACTTTTTTGAAAATTTTGGAAATATAGTTGCAATTTCTTATTTATTTTTATTTTTATTTTTCTTTATTTTTGTTTATTTAAATATGAGTGTACAGCTTTTAGCTGAGAAATTGATGAAAATAACGATTTTCGTAATGAAATATGAAATAAGGGTGAAAATGTCAAAAAATAAAAGATAAAAAATATTTTGCACAATAATAATGAAAAAATGAACGTTTTGTGCTAATTACCCTTTTAATAATTTATTTGGACTCATTTGTAATTTTTAAAAAAGTTTAGGAATATGATTGCAAGTTATTCTATTTTTTATTTTTTTATATTTAAATAGGAGTATATTTATTATTTTGCACAGGAAATTTGATGAAATTGATGTCTGCCGTAATAGAAAAGGTGAATGTAAAGGTAGAAATCCCAAAAAACGAAAATCAACAACGTTTTGCACAATAACATTGAAAGATAAGAACATTTTGTTCTAATTACCCTATTATTTTTATATTTTATTGCAAAAATTATTATTTTCATTCATTTTTTCAATTAAAAGCTGTAAAATAACAAATATACCATCATCTTTAAATAAAAAAATAGAGAAAAGAAAAATAAAGAAAAAATTGCAACTATACTCCCAATTTTTTTTTAAAAAATACAATTAAATTCCAAATAAATAATTAAAAAATCTTTTGAAATTTTGAAAATATAGTTGCAATTTGTTTTTTATTTTTCTTTATTTAAAGATGATTGTATATTTGTCATTTTACAGTTTTTAATTGAGAAAATGGATGAAAATGACAATTTTCGTAATGAAATATGAAATAAGAGTAAAAATGTCAAAAAATGAAAGGTATGAACATTTTGCACAATAATAATAAAAGGTATGGATGTTTTTTATTAATTACCCTTTTAATAATTTATTTGGACTCATTTGCATTTTTTTAAAAAATTTGGGAGTATGATTGATATTTATTCTCTTTTTTTATTGCTTTATTTAAACATGGGGTATATTTGTCATTTTATATGAGAAATTTGATGAAAATGATGATCTCTACGATAAAAGATGAATGTAAGGATAAAAATACCAAAAAATGAAAGGTAGTAACGCTTTGCACAATAATATTAAGAAATAAGAACATTTTGTGCTAATTACCCTTACAATTTTTATCATAACCTTTCATTTGTTACACTCATAGTCCCAAGCTTTTCATTCCGTGTGACATCCATGTCTGTTAGTTGACCAGAAGAGATGTCATTGACCTCATTTTGACTTTTAAAAGCTAAAATGGTAACTTTTTATTTTGGTAAATTACTTATTTTCTTTATTTGTTCTCTTTCTATTTTTATTTAATTAATTTATGTGAAAAATATAAATCCAAGCACATGAGATAAAATTTCAAGCAGGATAATAGATGATCATCTATATGTAAAGAAATCTGTATTGAAAATTAGAATGTCTAATTACAAATATTTTAAAAAATAAACTCTTCATAAAGTCAAATTCGAACATATCATACACAATTGCTAGAGTCTTCAATTTCAGAAATTAAAAAGAAAATCTAAAATTGTAATTTTCAAAAAATCTTAGGAGTATGATTGCAATTTATTCTATTTTTTATTTTTTTATATTTAAATAGGGGGTATATTTATTATTTTACACGAGAAATTTGATGAAATTGGCGTTTGCCGTAATAGAAAAGGTGAATGTAAAGGTAAAGTCCCAAAAAATGAAAATTAAGGACTTTTTACACGATAGCATTGAAAGATAATGACGTTTTGTGTTAATTACCTCATTATTTTTATATTTTAATGCAAAAATCATTATTTTCATTCATTTTCTCAATTAAAAGTTGTAAAATAACAAATATACCATCATCTTTAAATAAACGAAGATAGAGAAAAGAAAAATAAAGAAAAAACTTCAACTATACTCCTAAATTTTTCAAAAAACTACAAATAAATAATTAAAAAAGCTTTTTGAAATTTTTTGAAAATATAGTTGCAATTTATTTTTTTATTTTTCGTTATTTAAGATGATTGTATATTTGTCATTTACAGTTTTTAATTGAGAAAATGGATGAAAATGACAATTTTCATAATGAAATATGAAATAAGGGTGAAAATGTCATAAAAATGAAAGGTGTGAACATTTTGTATAATAATAATAAAAGGTAGGGATGTTTTGTGTGACTTACTCTTTTAAAAATTTATTTGGACTTATTTGAATTTTTAAAAAAAGTTCGGGAGTATGGTTACAATTTATTCCCTTTTTTTATTGTTTTATTTTAACAGGGTATATCTGTCATTTTATATAAGAAATTTGATGAAAATGATGATTTTCACGATAAAAGATGAATGTAAGGGTAAAAATATCAAAAAATATAAGGTAGTAACGCTTTGTACAATAATATTGAAAAATAAAAACGTTTTGTGCTAATTACCCTTACAATTTTTATCATAACATTTCATTTGTTACACTCGTAGTCCCAAACTTTTCATTCCGTGTGACAGAAGCAAATTTCATCCATGTCCGTTAGTTGATCAAAAGAAATGTCTTTGACCTCATTTTGACTTTTAAAATCTAAAATTGTAACTTTTTATTTTGGTGAATTATTTATTTTCTTTATTTGTTCTCTTTCTATTTTTATTTAATTAATTTATGTGAAAAATACAAATCCAAGCACATGAGATAAACATTCAAGCAGGATAATAGATGATCATCTATATGTAAAGAAATCTGTATTGAAAATTAGAAAGTCGAATTACAAATATTTTAAAAAATAAACTCTTCGTAAAGTCAAATTCAAGCGTATATACACAATTGCTAGAGTCTTCAATTTCAGAAATTCAAAAGAAAATCTAAAATTGTAATTTTTAAAAAAAGTTTAGGAGTATGATTAGAGGTGACAATGGGTTGAGCTAGCGCTCGTGACTCGTTTTCAACGAGCTGAGCTCGGGCTCGGCCCACTAGCTCGTGGGCTCTTTTTTTTTAAGCGTGAAAGTGTTAAAAATAAAAATAAAGTGTTAAAAAATAAAAATAATTTAACAAAAACAATTTTTTATTTTTTTTAGTTATATCATATAATTCATATTGTAATACTTTTTATAAACTATAAAATATTTATATAATGAAAACGAATTATTTTTTGAAATACATTTACAAAAAATATATTTTTTTGATTTCTTTTTAAAGTTAATAAAATGTAAACCCTCCTCATTTATCCGAACTTGGGACCGGCTACATCAATTTTAAGTAGACAGAGTTAAAAATTGTACACGAACAACTTGTTGCGACGTGTATAATTTAAAAAAAAAATTAAATTTAACGATTAAAAAATAATGAAATTTTGATTAATATAGTTCAACCAAATATCAATTATCTGACGACATGCAATTTCAGCGTATTTATCTTGTAGTCGAAAATGAGCGTCCTGCCAATCCTTCACGCACATTAACGCTTCCAAAACATCTTCTTTCAGTCGGCTTCTAACATCGTTCAAAACCTTTTTACTTGCACTAAAAGCAAACTCCGAAACAACAGTGTAACAGGAGGTATTAGCAGATCTTTCGCAATTGCAGAAATAATTGGCCAACATCTTTCATACTTTCGCCAAAATTCAATTACTTCTTCTGAACTTTTTTTAATTGTTCTGTCTGCTGGTATATTATGATTGAAGTAATCAATTAATTCGACTAGCATCGCATTTTGAGTTTCGACCGATATTTAATGAGATGCAAATGTAGACAACATGGCACTAGATGAACACATTGCAGTTGCATCATATCTAAATGTATTAATGCATTGAAATAAATTCATTATTTCCGTAGCATCTTCTTCGGTTTCAGAAGAAGGAGTAGGTGCAGCAGAGGGTACCCGACTAACATTCGCACCCATTATTTTCGCATATAAATCATACATTCCACATAATGTTTGCTCTAAATTCTTATAAGTGATAGGTGTATCAAGTATTAAAGATTTATTGATTTGATCAATTACGTATTTAGTTTCCGAAATATTATATCGGGGGTCCATTGCGCATGCTAAAGGAAATAACATAGGTAGTTCTTCCAAATATTTTCTAAACTTTAATTCTATAGCAATTAAAAATTCACTAAAAGAATGATCATTTTTATATTTATGGAATGTTCATACAATTATATAAAGGCGTTCAAACACCATACAACTTGTGGAATAATAAACGCCGAATAAAATTTTTGTGGTATCATAAAAAGATATCAAAAAT